ACCAGGTTCCACGAAACCTAGTTCTGCCAGCGCCCGAGACTGTACCTTCCATCCTTCCGAGTACAAAGAACTCAAAGAGGTAAATGGGGGGGTGTCCGGTAATGGCTCCAGTTTGAAAAGGGTCTGCCTTCCACCCGTGCATGCGCGTCACATTTTGGGTCCACCAAAACAGGTGTACGTTTTAAGCTAGAGCCTCATTCAAAAAGGATCCGCTCTCCACCTTTTTAACTGATACACGTGTTTGAGCTTTGGGCCATCGCATTCGACGATGTCTCAAGCGACAGCCCCATTTTGAAAATGAGCCTCCCTGCGTCTGCGTAGCTGCTGCAAGCTTTAAGACGAATACGCGCGGTGCTCACTCAAAATAACCATAATGAAAACGCAACCCCTCCATCCTTGTAATTGTTGTTTTTTTGTGAAAGACGGGTGAGCGCGGCGCCAAGGCGAATGTTCCATTGAAAGCCCCCCCCTCATCCGTGCAATTGTTGGAATTTTCAAGCCTCGAGGTCATATATTGTGGGCAGGAGGAGGGGGATGGGGACGTGGACAACGACGAGGAGAAGGACCAGGAGGAGGAGGAGGAGGAGGAGGAGGAGGAGGAGGAAGAGAGGGCGACCACGACGACGGCGACGACCTCCTTCTTCTCAGCATCTTTTCCTGTCTCGTCGTCCTCCACCGTTCGCCGCCCCCCCAGTTCGCCCTCCTCGTGCTCGCCATTGTCACCCTTGTCATCTTCCTCCGCACCGCCCACCCCAGAACCGCAGGGGAGCTCCCCCCGTCTCCTCTTCACTTGGCCCGCAGGGCGAAAGTCATATGGTCTCGACGGAAGTCGGCACAGATCGTTGCAATTCTTCTTGGGGTCATCTTGGCGCCCCTTGGGGTCGGGGGGTCTTGGAAGCCCTCGAGGGCCTTTGGGAGTGCATTGGGCAAGAAGAGCGTGAAAGGTGTGTCGCATGCGTGCTTCCTTGATCCGTATTGAGAGGCCAAGTGAGGGCCTTCAGAGGTCTATGCGACATGAAGTGCGTGCGTGTGTGTGTGTATGTGTGTGAATGGTGTGCCGAATTGAGTCTCGGTTGCGCCGTTTGTGCGTGAGGGGTGTGCCGAAGTGCAGCTTCCCTACCCCGCCTCCCGAGACAACTGAGAGCCTCTGGGAGTTACATGAGGTACGAAGTGTGTGAATCGTGCGCTGGATTGAGGCTCCCTCGAACCGCCTTGATGACCATTGGATCGCCTCGAGTGGCCCAAGGGGCACGGCATGCGTGAGTCGTTGCCGAATTCAGGCTCCCAGGAGCAGTCTTGGTATTTTGCTGAGCGCCTCTGGATGAGCGCCTCTGGAGGTCAATGGCGCCCGACAGGCGTGAGGGGTGTGCCGAATCGATCCTGAACCCAGGAGCACTGGGAGCACGAACGCATCGAATTGTTCATTCCACACGAGAATTCAAGCGCGCACGTCTTGCGTGGGCCTGCGCGATGCGGGGGGCCGTACCCGTCCGCATTCGGAATGCAATGCCAGCTATCTCTCCCAATCGCTCTGAAGTCTGACAGCTCCCACACGGCTCAGATTCGCACAGCGGCCGAGGCCGAGTCGGGAGACCAGCTTTGTGGTCGCGCTCCCACCATCCACACGGCGCAGGCCCGCCCTGTTTCAAGAGAGGAACAACCACCCGGACCGGACAATTGGCGTTTACTAAACGGCCCTGGGCGTTTACTAAACAGCCCTGCCCTGTTCGATTCCTTCTTTGGGCGCGTTCACTAATCGACTTCGCGTGTCGGGGTGGTTATTACGTCACCACCCACCAAACCACCCCAACCCAATCCGAAGGCTCAGATTTGCCCGCGATTTCTAGTGGGGGGGGGGGTCGGGAAACATCGGAAAAACACATGTGGGGCCCTTACCCCCCCAACCCGAAATTCGGGTCTTCGGGTTGGGTTGGGGTGGTCTGGTAGGTAGTCATTTATTTCGGGGGTGGACAGGCCTCATACCCTGACACGTCGATTAAGGAATTGGCCGTTTTCGGTTCGCGAGAGGGCGTCGCGGCCGTCATTTTTGCGGGTCCAGGTCCGTCGGTTTCGGTCCCAGGCCGTTGTCATTAAGGGGAGGTTTACTAAAGGGAGGTTTGTCCACCGCCGATTTATGGGGTGGATGTTTTTTGATCTCTACTGTTCCCACCACGCTCCCGCAGGGAGGCCACCGCACGGAGCCCGCGGCGCGGGCCGGCATGGTTCTCCGGCTCGGTGACCGCGCGCGTGGGGTGTTTTCGGAAAGCTCGCGTGGCGATTTTGTCTTGGCATCGCTCGGGCGTGTGCTTTTTTTCTCGGCGAGAACCCTCGAGAACCCTCGAGAAGGGCGGCTGTACAAATGAATGCGACAAGTTAACGAGGCCTTTCAATCGTGATAGGCACACTTGTGGGAATATGAGTTTACACGGCAACCACTGCCGAGCGGCCCCCCCTCCGCCCCCTCTCGCTGCCTCTCGCCCCTGAGGATTGCACCGAAGCGTGGGATTCTCTGCGCTGCCTGTAGCGACGCTGCGGTGGCCTCGTACCCGATGCCCCTTGACCGCCACGCACACGCAACAAAAACCGTCGAGGACCATCCTGGACCATCGAGCAACAAAAAACGCGCACGAAACCGAAAAAGTCACGGGAAATGGGCGTCCGAGCGACGGCAAGTTGTCGGGGGGCCCTTTTGCGGCGATCTGGGGCTTCTCCGGGGGTATCGGGAAGTTCGTGTGGCTGCCTTGAGGGTGTCTTGGGCCCCTGGGGGAGATCTCGCGCACAGTTGTTGCAACCAGTGAGCGTTTGGCGGGTAAACTATGCCCTGGCGCGAGTGCGCACGTATCGTTGGAATCTTGTTTGGGGGCCATCTCGGCGTCCTCAGGGGTGGGGCGTCCTTCGGAGCCAACTGTGGGCCTTTTGGGGGTCCCCAGGGTGCGGAGTGTGTGAAAGGTCTGCCTGATTCACGTCCCTTTGAGCCGTCTTGGGGGCCAGCTGATGGTCTTCAGGCGCGCATGGGGCACGACGTGCATGAGAGTTGTGCCGAATTCGGTCTCTCTTCGCCCGTCGTGCAGGGCCAGCCGGGGGCCCCTGGGGCGGCCGTGCGGCACGAAGTGCGTGTGCCGAACTGAGCGTCTCCCCCGCTTCGGCCTCGCAACCCTTTCCATCGTTTCTTCCGCGGGGGAAGAACACTCGATCACCGAGTCAGCAGGCGAGAAGTTCCAAGCGCTTCGCTTCTGTATGAGACGGGCTGGGAAAAGAAGTGTTGTACCACCTTCTGCGTCTCCGTTAGAATCCTAGCATACGATACTATCACCTGATCGTGAGCTAGACTATCCAGGCCCAATCTCAGGCTATCTATAACAAGCACAAGCCCATCCATTATCATATTCATGTTGGATTATGTCCGGCTCGGCGAGTGGATATGGCCCCTCGTATGGGCAGAGGTCGCGAGGTATCGGTCTTCCCAAGATGGCGGATCAAGGGCCCAGAGGCCGACGTTTCATTCATACCTTGCTTGCATTGGGCAAGGCGTGGTACACCAAGCGGATCGTGCAGCGGCTCCTTGAGCAAGACCATGGGTTCGCTAGCCCCCCCAGGCGCGAGAGTGCCAGTCTTAGCACGATGGCCATCCGATATCGGTTTCGACAGTCAGGGTGGGCAGTCGCGGCTACGAGCTAGGATTGATCGAACGTATTCGGTAGCACACGGTGGTAATATCTCGATATTTTCGGTCGTGATAGTGCTCTTGCCCATGATCGTGTATTTTTTCGTCAGAGATATGGACCGTTTGTTGTAGAGGTAGAGACCCCACTGGGTATCTTAACAGTAAAGACGTGGATGGGAGGCGTGATGGGGGACCCCTTCAACGTCCAGGGGTTCACAAGGGCGTTTGTCGAGCCAGTTAGCACGTTGAGTGGCTACGGAGGTTCACGAGCAGATCCTAGCCACGAAGCTGTTTGAGGCCAGGTGGTTGAAAGCCCCAGTCCAAATACCATTTCAGAAGTACGCAGACGATTTATTGAGATGCATCCCCCGCGCCCTGGGCACGGCGATAGAGGTTTTTTCCCAGCCCCACCACCTCTCGGAAGCCCTTTTCGGCAAGGTTCTGGCTATAGCGGGGTATGTCCGAAATCGTGGCACACAGGTTGCAAGTTTTTCTATTGGGGGAAAGTAGTGGCTTTCTGCAAACAGCACGAAAGGGGGACGACGAAAAAACGTTTGGTTGGGGTCGTCTTGGGCGCTGCGCGATACTTAGGCCCCAACAGCGCGTTCCAAATATTGAACGCAGAGCGGTCGCTGCAATTTCAGCTTGCTATAGTACGGGCTCGTTCTGGGCGCCATCTACCCCGAAGAAGTGGAAAAGGACAATCTTCATAAGTCTGGTGCAAGGCTCGCTCCCCCAGGGCATGGTTTTCTCTCTTCTAAGCGACGAGCAGTTGACCGTGGTGGATCATCATATTGCTCTATTGTGTCGCATTGTGATGCAGGGTTTCGCGCGCAATGAAAACGAAGGTGGTTCTCAGCGCGCGCTGGGCAGATCTACTTGTAAGATCGAGCTCGCGACGAGAAGATTCGCCTGGTATCAGATCTGGGCCACCTACCAGGAGGAGCATATACAAGTGCTGGTTGCGCTCTTTGCTGGACCGCCATTCGGCTCAGGCGATGGCTGGCCTTGTCATCACGTCGACGGTCTTACCTCGTTCGCCACTCCGTGGGCCCAGAGGGTTAGAATGGACATTGAGGTTGCCATGCCCGCTTGCCCCGATGAGTAAGAACGTAACTCACACTGTGCAGTTACCATGGCTACCGTTGGATGAGGAGGGGATCCGACGAGACTTTGCGCGCATCGGTGTTCACCATGGCCGTAACTTGTCGTAAACCTACATGGCCTCGAGGGTGCGTGCAGTTCTGCGCCCACACGGTCGTCGTGGGGATATCGGGCCCCCTGGTCGTTGCACGGTGGTGGGGGAGGACGGGGGAGGAGCGCGCGCGGGCCTCTGCGTCGCAGGGGCTTGTGGGGCACATGCCATCGACGCCATGAGCCGCGTGCTAGCCAATACCAACGGCGACCCTTTATCCAGTAAGATTTGTAAGTAAGTCAGACCCGACAGCAGCACGCCGTCTTCAAGCAGCAGGCCAACGGGGGTGCCGCGGGCGCGGGGGGCCTAGGTCGACTGCGCACTCGATCGGGCCATCAGATTCCTCTTTCGAGCTGTATGCTTACGGGGTCGCACCACGTGCCGACCGCTGTGGCCGCATCTGGGCTCATCTGCCGCAGCGAGTTCAGAAGTTTTCGCCCTCTACACTTATCGGCGTTGTCAATCGCCGAGCCGGCGGGCTCAGCGGGCCAGTGGATGGCGGGCGAGGGCGCGCCCACTTGGCTGCAGCGCCCATCGGGGGCCCTCGATCGGCGGCGAACCAGTGGATGGCGGGCGAGGGCGCGTCCAGTTGGTTGCTGCGCCCATCGGGGGCCCTCGATCGGCGGCGAACGTCGGCAGGTCAAGCGCGAAGGGCGACGCCGACGCGGGCGCGGGCGAGAGGGCCAAGGGCAAGGACAGAGACGTCGACGAGGTCCTCATCCTGGTCTTGGCGAAGCTGGCGCCGTCGGCGGGCCGTCGGATCGTGGCGCCGGGGCGCGCGACCCACCGGAGGCACGCGGCGCCCGAAGACGCACCGGACTCCGTCGGGGGCATTTCCACGCGGGCGGGCGACGACAGCAGTTCGGTCTCGAGCTGCGCGGGAAAGAGAACGGAGAGCAGGTGGACTCCGAGGCGCTCGGGCCGCCACGCGTCGTCATCTTCGCGGCGCCGGTGGGTCACGTCATGGAGGAGGCGAAGCAGGGCGGGGCCGAGGCGGGCGACGGGGCCTCCTCGGCGCCGGAGGCCCGGTGGGCGACCGGCGCGGACAGCTGCTGAATAGGGATAAGGGCGTCGGGCCGGTCGAGGCGCCTGCAGGAGGGCGGGCCCCGTCTGAGCCACCGCACGTCTGGCAGTGGGTCGCGTCGGAGTGGCAGCATCAGGAAGGCATCCGAGGGGCGCGATGCCAAGCGAGCGAGCAGGCTTCGCGGCGGTGCTTGCACGGTGCACGGTGCATGCGCAGCCTTCGGTGCTCAGAAATCTGGGCCACCGCTGCGCCTAAATTGATTGCTCGGGCGTAAGTTTAATTTGTAATTGCAATTGCCACCGGCGCGGTTACCACACTTCGGGTGGTCGTTTCGATCGCCTGGGGAAGGAATACGAGCCACACAAAGATGCCTCGCATAGCCATCCGTGGGATCGTCTGCAGACAAGTCGTCATCCTTCGCACAAGAAGCCTGGAGTCGTGGTTGTCAACACGTTTTGTCGTTTACGAAGCCCGTGCATTCCTCGTCGTCCAGATTGTTCACAATGTATGGTAGCTGTCGCTCTCGCAGAGCCACCGTCGGTGTGAGGCACATGAGGCTGAAGGAAGGTCGACCTCAACAAACAGACCTCCCACTTGTCCGTCGCCTCCTCCTCCTCCTCCTCCTCCTCCTCCTCCTCATCATCATCATCATCATCATCACCCCGTGTCGTCCTCTGATGCCGAATTCCACTGGTGCGATTCGACGTTTTCGACATGTCTAGTGTTCGGGGACCTCAAACGCAGCTGGGGTATCCTTGCGTCGGCAGTACATGCTCAGCTGTGCGGCCAACAGATGGTGCATGCGGCTGCCCGAGCCGCTACATGTTGTTTTGTCCCTGTCCGCTCTCGCTGATCCTGGCGGGCAGGTGCCGCGTTGGGGTTCGCGAAGAAGAATTGTTGCGAACCACTTACCAGAGATTCTAGTAACGCCCTTTCCCTGTTTGGCCGGCGAGTTTGGGCCATCTTCAAAGAAAAACAGTTAATCACACGCGCGCCAGTGCATCAGGGATAAAAACCTGGTTTCCACAGTGGGCCCCGCGGTTTCGAGTCTGAGATCCCGATGGTTTGCGCACTGGCTCAGTTCTGCGAAGGCTGTGAGAACCCCAGTGCTTTCGCAGCGCGCGGAGACAGGACCCGGGAGCACACCCTGGGGAGGAGGGGGAGGAGGGGATGACGCTTCGGCCCCGAGGGCGGGGGCGGACACGCCAGAGTTGAGTCGGGCCTGTCCCTCTACACGTGGGATATTCAAAAATAGTAAAAAAAACAAAAAAAAAAAAAAAAAAAAAAAAAAAAAAAAGTCTGGGGACGAATTTGTAAGTTGAGCAATGTTTGGCAATGTTAGGGTATGTTTAGACTGTTTTTTTATTTCTCGTCGAAAATAGGCTTGTATACAGGCGGACAGGCCCGACTTAACGCTAGAGTTACACCCCCAAAGGGGTGGGGGGGTCTTCCTTGTTTTGTGCTGGTGAATGGGCCAAGAGGCCGGAGTGGAACATCCGCATCGTCATCCTCACTTTTTCCCCCGCTCCGCCCCCATCCACTCGGGCCGAACGAAAGGGGGGGATAGGGAAAGGGGGGGTTACGAAATTTGCTGTATGCAGTTGGTTTCGGCCCCACCGAGGGGCCCATTCCTCGGTACACAGCCGCCTCCGGCGCCGGGAGGCGCGAGCTGATTCTCAAACCCCCCTTTGCTATCCCCCCGTTTCGCCCGACCCGATCCACGCTCCCCCGCTCCAACCTGCTCCGTAGCGCGCACACTTCGAGGTCGCAGGAGTTCTTGCGGCGCCCGCAGCCGAACGGCGGCCACGGCTGCCTGTTGACATCGCAGGGTCCGCGGGGTGGAGGACGTGCCCCATGGACGAGGAGGACAGGAGGGTGAGGAGGACGACAAGAAGGACAAAAAGAGGTGAGGAGGGTGATAAGAAGGAGGAACGAGGAGGCAGAACAAACAAGGGCAAGTAGGAGGAGGAGGAGGAGGAGGAGGAGGAGGAGGAGGAGGAGCTGAAGGGCAGCATCGATGAGCAGCAGCAGCAGCAGCAGCAGCAGCGTCTCCAGCAGATGAGACAGAAGGAAGAAGCGACGGGGGTAGCGCATCGCGGTCTGATCCCAGCCACCCCCACTCTGCTTGGCCCGTGCCCCGCGTTTCATAAGCTTGATCGCCACGTTCCGTGTAACGGAGCTTTTGGAGGGGTGCGGTTAGCATGAGCGCAACAATCTTGGCTGGAAGGTTCCTTGGTAAGGTTTGAACCGCATTCGGGCCCTGTGGGGCCATCCGCGGGCTCCTAGGACCGTCAAACAGCAGTTCAGGATGAAGAGTTGGTCCCCTTTTGCTGGCATGGCGTGGCACGGGGCTGTCACACCGGCGACAACCGAGGGGTCCGTTGTGAGTTGCTTCACCCAGGGCACGTCCAGGTTATCATCATGGGGTCCGCCCGCAGCCTCCGTGGGGTCCGCTGGAGGCCCGCTGTCGCCAGGGTCACCGGAGCCGACGGCGCGAGAGAGTCGAGGAGATGAAGGGGAGAGGAACGGGAGATGAGCGGGAGACGGACTGGGAGGAGGAGGAGGACGAGGGGGAGAGGAGGAGGAAGCGGGGAAGGGGCACGGGCGGGGCGGGAAGGGGCAAAGGGGCGAGGGAGAGCGGTGGGTTCTCCGCGGTGACAGAGGGTGGACGGGGGTGGGGAGGAGGGGGGCAGAGAGAGAGAGAGAGAACAAAAAAAAGGATGGAAGGAGAGGGGTAGGGAGGAAGAGGAGGAGGAGGAGGAGGAGGAGGAGGAGGATAAGGAGGAGGGAACGAGACGAGGAGTCGAGCAATGGACCAGGAGGAGGATGGCGGCCACTACATGGCTTGCAGAAGACCCAGCCTCGAAGGTACGAGAGGTGCGACTGCCACCATCACCGAGATTCACTGCAGTGTACTGGCGAGCGCCTGCGCCTGAAAGCCTCTTCCTCTCCTGAGTCCCCCCCTCCTCGGGCGAGACGCTGGATCTGTAGCCGTTTTGGATCAGGCGTTCCTCCCGAGGTATTCCCAAGCTGGCCACACCAGGTTCCAAGTTGCGGTCGGCCCATTTTTTTGTTCTCGGTGCCTGTGTCACCGAAGGCCGCGCTCGGCGGCGCGCACAAGGGGCGGGTGCGAGGGGGGCGGCCGTCTGCGAGGGCGAGGGGCATCGCAGTGGCCCGGGAGGGCTTCTAAGAAGGTTCTTGTTGTTTTAGAAGTTTCCCCGTTCTCTCAGGGCCCAGACCTTAGTGGGCCCTGGAAACGACAGGGCCGTTTTTGTTACCGGTTCCGTTTTGCCGTTTTTTTGCTGGTTCCGACGCCGGTTTTTCACCAGCTCCGTCGCCGTTTTTTGACCAGTTCCGGCTCCGGCTGCAATCTTGGAGCCGGTTTTTTTGCCGTTTTGTTGCCGTTTCCATTGTCAAGGGACATTTTTTTTGGAAACGATGAAAAAACGGCCCTGCCGTTTCCGGGGCCCACGAAGGCCCAGACCCTCGACGTCATGATTTTTGTCACGACTTGGGCCCCCAGAGGGCTGGGCCCCTTCTTCGGGATCGGCATCTCACCCTGAGCTGCTTTCCCCCAGTTGGCGCGGGGCTCTTGGCAGGAATCCGTGGGTGTCGGAAGCGGTCGTCGCCGAGTTCCCCGGGGAGTTGTGGTGTTGTTTCTTTACAGGGGGGGTCCACAGGGTTCCTCGGTCTTGTTTTTACAGCGGCGTTTTTCGGGGTTGCTCGGCCTTGTTTCTTTACAAGTGGATTCCTTATGGATCCTTAGACTCGATTTCTTCACAGTGGTGTTCCCAATGCTATGGAACGCACAGCCTGCCAAGCGATGCAATGCCAAGCAATTCCAAGCAATGCCAGGCAACGCCGCCCAAGCAATACTAACACACGTCAAGAAGTGCCCAGCAATGCCAAGCAGTTCCAAGCAACGCTGCCGTTTAAGAAGCAGTTCCCCAACTTTGGGGTCGAGCCGGGTCCATTTGGCGGTCCCGGGGCCCGGTAGGGGCCCTCGGAGCCAAACGTCGCGGGGCATTGTCCGTCGTTAGTGTGTGTGTGTGTGTGTGTGTGTGTGCGTGTGCGTGTGCGTGTGCGTGTGTGTGTGTGTGTCTGTATGTGTGTGCGTGTGTGTGTGTGTGCGTGTATGTGTGTGCGCGGGTGCGTGTGTGTGTGTGTGTGCGTGTGTGTGAGTGTGTGCGTGTGTGCGTGTGTGTGCGTGTGTGCGTGTGTGCGTGTGTGTGTGTGTGCGTGTGTGTGCGTGTGTGTGTGCGTGTGTGTGCGTGTGTATGCGTGCGTGCCGCTGCGCGAGAGGATCTGGGAAGGCCGCCCCACTCGCGCCCGCCCCCCTGGTGCGCGCCGCCGACACCGCCGGCCCCCCAGATGTCGAGAGGGCCCATCTGCTCCGTCGCGGAGACCCCCGAGCAGGCTCGCGGGGAGCTCGCCGTGCTGCTCCGGGCTCGCCCGGGAATCGAGGAGGCCCTGGGCTGCCAAGAGGGGTGCGCCGACAGGCAGCTCATCTCGGAGGAGGGTCAGTCGCGGCAACGGCAACGGCGGCCCTGCCCGTCGCTTGCCGTCCTGTCTGCACCGGAGGCTTCCCGCCGCCACGGCTGGATGCGCCTCGAAAATCTGGTCAGCGTGGGCTCCGGGAGGGGGTTCCGAGGGCCGGCCCTGAGCGTAATTGGGCTGGGGCGGGGGGGGGAGCAGGAGCCGCCGTTCGTGGGCTGAAGACGTCCGTGTCCGCGGCCTCGCGGGGCCAGGCCGCGGATACTGTCTGCGTATGTCGCGCGGATACCACGCGCTGAACGTACCCGTACGACCGCGTACCCGCGGGATCGCGCCCCAGAATCCAGACAGCGAGGGTGCTGTCGATAACCGGATAGATTCACCACTCGTGAGCCGTTGTCTCAGCCGGCCACTCCTCCGATCATCGAGTCCCTCCTCAAGCACGACTCGCCTTTCGCGCTGCTCCGCTCCTTGGGTTTCGACTCGGACACCGCCTCCGTCGCCGCGTGCTTGCTGAAGGAGGCCAGGCTGACGCCCAGGGTACGCGACCTCGCTCGCAGCATAGAGGCCAAGCTGTCGGTGGCGCCGCGGCCGCCGCCTAGCAGGGCCCTGGGGAGGCGGAAGAGCGACATGGCCGACGTCCAGGACCACGGAGGGCGCCAATCATACACCCACGCCGACCCTGGGCCCAGAATCGGTGTGTGTGTGTGTATGTGTAAGCGCGTGTGTGTGTGTGTGTGTGTGTGTGGTGTGTGTGCGTGCGCGTGTGTGTGTGTGTGCGTGTGTGTGTTTTACATCTGTTCTTTCCGCCAGGGCAGTCACTCTGCCTGGCCGCCGACTGTGTGTGTGCGTGTTAGTGTGTGGTTGTGTGTGTGCGTTAGTAGTGCATGTGTCAGTGTGTGTGTGTTAGTGTGTGTTAGTGTGTGTTAGTGTGTGTGTTAGTGTATTGGTTGTGTGCGTGTGCGTGTGCGTGTGCGTGTGCGTGTGTGGTCTTGTGTGTACATATGTGTGCGGTCGTGTGATAGTATGATTGTCTGTGCCAGTGCGTGTGTGTGTGTGTGTTAGTGAGTGTGTTAGTGAGTGTGTTAGTGTGTACGTGTGTCAGTGTGTGTGCTTGTGTGTGTGTTCTCGTGTGTGTGTGTCTGTGTGTTAGTGTGTGTGTGTGTGTGTGTGTTTGCGTGTGTGTTAGTGTGTGTGTGTGCGTGTGGGTGTGTGTTAGTGTGTGTATGCGTGTGTATGCGTGTGTGTGCATGTGTGTGCGTGTGTGTGTGGTCGTGTGATTGTATACTTGCGTGTGTGTGTGTACGTGTGCGTTTGCGGGCGCGTGCGTGTGTGTGTGTGTGTGTGTGTGTGCGTGTGTGTGTGTGTGTGTGCGTGTGTGTGTGTGTGTGTGTTAGTGTGTAATAGTGTGTGTTTTAGTGTGTGGATTCGCGTGTGTGTGTGTATGTGTTAGAATGTGTGTGGGTGTGTGGGTGTGTGGTCGTGTGTGTGTGTGTTAGTGTGCGTGCGTGTGTGTGTGTATGTGGTCGTGTTTGTGTATGGGTGCGTGTGTGGGTATGTGTGTGTGCGTGTGGTCGTGTGGTCGTGTGTGTGTGGGTGTGTCTTTGTGTGTGTGTTAGTATGCGTGTTAGTGTGTGTGTGTGTGAGTTTGTGTGTGCTTTTGTGTGTGTGTCTTAGTGTGTGTGTGTGTTAGTGTGTGCGTGTGCGAATGCGTGTGCGCCTGTGTGTGCGCGTGCGTGTGTTTGGTCGTGTGGTTGTGTGATTGTGCGTGGGTGTGTGTTAGTGCGTGTATTAATGTGTGTGTGTGCTAGTGTGTGTGTGCGTTGGTATGTATGTTAGTGTGTGTGTATGTGTGTATTACTGTTGTGTGTGTTTGTGTGTGTGAGTGTTGGTGTGTGTTAGTGTGTGTGTGAGTAAGTGTGTGTGTGTGTGTGTGTCTCAGTGTGTGCGCGTGCGTGTGCGTGCGCATGTGTGCGTGGTCGTGTGTGTGTGTGCGCGTGTATATGCGTGTGTGTGTGCGTGTGTGCGTGTGTGTGTGTGTGTGCGTGTTTGTTTGTGGTCGAGTGATTGGGTGATTGTGTGTGCGTGTGCGTGTGCGTGTGAATATGTGTATGTGTGTGTGTGTCTATGTGTGAGTGTGTGTAAGTGTGTGTTAGTGCGTGTGCTTGTGCGTGTGCACGTGTGTGTGTGGTCGTGTGTGTACGTGTGTGCGGGTGTTTGTGTGGTCGTATGATCGTGTGATTTTGCGTGTGCGCGTGTGCGTGGGCGTGGGCGTGTGCGTGTGGGTGTACGTGTGTATGTGTGTGCGTGTGCGTGTGCGCGTGTGTATGTGTGTTAGTGTGCGTGTGTGTATGTGTTAGTGTGTATGTGGTCGTGTGTGTGTGTGCGTGTGCGTGTGCGTGTGCGTGTGAGGTCGTGTGACTGTGTGGTTGTGCGTGGGTGTGTGTGTGTGCATGCGTCGCCCTGCCCCAGGCCAGGAAGGCGTGTGCACCGACCCTGGTCCCAAGATGAGCTTGGCCAGGATCGCTGTACGTATATGGCCACTCCCCGGACCTCTCACCGAATCACGCCGTGGCGGCGAGGGCCTCCCAGAACGCCCAAATCGGCGACAATGCGGCTGGAATAGGGGTAGGTACCTTTTCCTCCTCTGACAGCTATACAGTCGGGGCCCTGAAGAAGGAACCCTTTTCGTTGGGGAGGGGCTCCGCGTTCCTTAAGTGTTTCACAGCTTGCCTCAGGCGTTCCTTATGTTCTCGATAGGAAATCGAAGGTGAACTTGTAGGAAAAAAGGGGCCTCGTTCCTTATTCAGGGTTCCTTAGGTCAAGGCCCCGACTATAGCCTTGGCGTCCTCCGCAGGACCTCGCCTACGACTGGCGTGCGGTGGCGCCGCACGGCGGCGTCGCGCCGCCGGCGGAGCGCGCCGCCTCGCGCGCCGCGCCGCGGGCGTGCGGGTTCCACCTGGGGCAGGCCGTGCGGGTCGCCTTCGCCGAGGGCGGGCTCTGGATCATCATCATCATCATCATCATCATCATCATCATCATCATCATCATCATCATCATCATCGTCGTCATCATCATCATCAGCATCCTCATCATCATCATCATCATCATCATTATTATCATCATCCTCGTCCTCATCGTCATCAGCATCATCAGCATCATCATCAGCAGCATCATCATCAGCATCATCATCATCATCTTCCTCTTCCTCTTCCTCATCCTCTTCCTCATCCTCATCAGCATCATCAGCAGCATCATCAGCATCAGCATCGGCATCAGCATCAGCATCATCGTCATCATCGACAGGATCTCTGGGGTCGTGACCTGCGTGGAGCCGCTGGAGGCGTGGCCCAGCCTGAAGTAGCAACAAGCACAGAAGCATGAACTGTCATAGCTCCGCGCAGATGCGTCGGGTCGGCGCTGGGCCCCCCCTGGCGGCGCCCCCGGCGCCATCCCTTGGCGCGCGGGGCGCCTCAGGGAGGGGGGCCCAGCGCAGATCCAAGAGACCCGCGCGGAGCTCCAACCAATTCTGAGTATGCTGTTTTCGTCCAGGTGCAGCCCAGTGGGGCCTCGGAGAGCTTCGAGTTTGCGTGCGTGGAGGCCATGTGGGTCGACGGCGACGCGGTTGCCCAGCCTGACGCCGACGAGGGTGCCGGCAGGTGCGCTTGCGGCGCCGCGTCCATGGACATCGACCTCATGGCGTTGGATGCGGCGAAGCTGTGCCTACAGCAGGGGATGCCGCAAATGGCAAAAATGTTTATCGATATGGTCAGTGTCGCCAGCGCCAAAGCCGGGCCCGAGACAGCGGAGGAGTGTCTTCTGAAGAGGAGTTGCGCCGATGAGAACGCCAAGATGTTAGACTTGCCGAAGCTATCCGTGGTGCCGATGTCGATTCAGGGGATGGCCAGCATCGTGGATGAGGAGGCAACGGCAGAGAAAGAGGCGGGCACGACTCCTCTGCTGGCCCACAAGCCAGCCGAGCTCGACTCGCGTCAGCCCAAGTTCGCGCCGCCATCGAAGGACGGGGCGGCTGGCACCGTCGGCGACGAGGGCGCTCTGAGGGCCGATCTCCCCAAGGGCTGCATGGACAGCTTTGACGCGCTGTGGTTTTCTGGTGCATGCGGCGCGATGCTGCCGTCGCCGAAGGATGAGCACAGGCTGGCGAGGCCTGGGTGGCTCTCGTGCTGCTGCGCGCGCTGAATCGGGGCTCGCCGCCTCTGCCGTGGTGCCTCGCCGGCCACGCCGCCGTGGCCACCGAGGGCGCGCGGATCACTTCTCGGGGGGCGCGGTGCGGGATCGTTACCGGTTTGAAGCATATCCTTATCCCTGTGTTTGGCATCACCTCACCTCGATGCCGATCTGAAGGATTCCCTCGGTTTCAGAGGGCACATCCCTAAGATCGTCCTCGCTCTTTGCTCGCCCATCTTAGGGATAGGGATAAGTTCGAGGCTGTTTAGATCGGGCGCTGCGAGAAGTGCCCCTGGCCCAAGCGTAAGGGAACAACAAGTGACATTAGCATAAAAAATCGGAGGATCGCGCGGATTTCTCGGATCGGCGCTGGGCCCCCCCGGCGGCGCCTCCAGCGCCGCTCCTGGCGCGCTCTGCGCGCCATGGAGGGGGGTCCGGCGCCGATCCGAAAAATCCGCGGGGACCTCCGAGTTGTTATGTTTATGCCACTTTCTGTGCCCCGAAAGGTGTCCCCAGGATTTCCAAGGAGGCCCCCACGGCCTCCAGAGCACCTCTCACAAGGTGTAGGGGGCACCAGGGGCTCCAAAATGGAGCGAAAAACTGGGGCACCTTGGGCCAAGGGCACCTTTAGCAACCCCCCCGCGAGAGAGTGAGGAACGACTCGATGTGGTGGCTGCGACAGAGCTTCTGGATCGCCTTTGGCCTGGGCGTTGCGGCGCCGCCTAGTGCATCATCGGCCCCCACCCCTCTTGACTGGGGGTGCGGATCTGCTTCGTTTTTTTTGTTTCCACTTGGCTCGTGATGCGAACGGCACGCGCGCGAGCTGCCAGGGACAGTTTCGAAGCATGTGGATGCTCTTACGCAGAAGGGGAGGACGTGATGCGGCTGCAGTGCTGAGCGGAGTAGGGTGCAGATCTTGGTCTTTTTGTTCGGCCATTTGAATTGTCGGTTTAGACTGTGAGCCATGTGAGGCCACCGCATTTGTGTTCATGCGCTTCACACTCGTCTTTGTCTCTTTTTTCAGTATGAGACTCATCTTGAAGTGTAGTTGAGCACGGTGTATCGGTCAAGCCGGGCTGCGGTGTGCAATTACACAGTTTTCCCAGTCCTATTAGGTGGGGAGCATTCGGCACATACCACCAGTCTTATCAGACTGGCAGAAGCTTGCTAGTTCATCAAGCTGGGCATCGAGCTACGTATGGGGGCATCAGTTTCGTATCACTTGCACCCCAGTGCTCAATCATTGCTTTTGTACGTTTTTGTTGTTGCCTTCTGTAGTGTTGTACTACTCGCGCGGCAGACAACGCACCGTTGTGCTGACTACTCTAGGTTCACACGCCAGCACCCACCAGGAGCGTGCGACACGCCGGCGTTTGCCTATGGTCTGATGTTTCGGGTGTTGAGTTTTATGTCCGCCATCGCATTGGCGTGAGTCTCGGGCCGGACGAAAGCGGGGGATTGGGAAAGGGGGGGTTACGAAATTTGTTGCATGCAGCTAGTTTCGGCCTCACCGAGAGGCCCATTCCTCGATACATAGTCGCCTCCGGCGCCGGGAGGCGCCGGGAAAATCAGCTACGTGAGCTGATTCTCAAACCCCCCCCTTTGCTATCCCCCCCTTTCGCCCGACCCGAGAGTCTGACCATTTGCACTGCATGCTGAGTCCAATCCTTTTCCTGTATCCAGCTGCCTGCGGCGAGTTCTGCCACCGTGCCAGCGCAGCGCAGCACTGTGCGTGGCGGCGACCGGAGCACCGCCCAGAAGGCTGCATCCTGTTGCTCAGGAGCGAAAGAAACACACAGACACAATTAATCGTCGACTCCCAGGAAACTATGGGAAAATATGGGAAGTGGGGGGGAAGACTGAAGCCCAGAAAATATGGGAAAATATGGGGAATATTTTTATGTGTGTGTATTTATTTCTGTGTCCTGGGGCCCCTTCAGTCACACCTCTCGACTAAATTCCTTCATGCGCTCTTATGAGGTCTACCTGGGTCATCTTGAGCTGTCTCGGGCTCCTGCGGGGTCATGTTGGAGCCCTCTTGGCAATTTCTTCGGCCTCGGCTTTTCTTTGGCCCATCTCGGCCGCCCGGGGAGTTTCTCAGGGCTGTCTTGTCGGGGAAACGTAAGACTCGAGTAAGCCAGAACTCGGGTTCGCCGACGTTTTTTGCCGAGCGCGTCCTGGATTTTGACGGTGCAATTTTCGTGGGATGTCCGCAGCGGGGGAGTTCGCGTCAAATCTCAGATTGGGTCTTGTCGTTTTTATGACGGCCCCGTCGGACCAACCCGAGTCCCCGATCTCGGGGGCACATCGGCGGCACTTCGGGGGCCGATCTCGGGGCCACCTACAGTCGGGGCTTTGAAGAAGGAACCCTCTTCGTTGGGGAGGGGCTCCGTGTTCCTTTCTTGTTTCGCAGCTTGCCTTGGATTTTCCTTAGGTCCGATCTCGGGGGCACATGGGCGGCACATTGGGGGCATCTCGGGGGCACCTCGGGGCCCTCTCGGGGCCTGTCCGATCTTGGTGGCATCTCTGGGCACCTCTGGGGGGCACCCTGGGGGCCGACCTCGGGGCCACCTGCACCTTCGGCGATGCTTAAGAGAACTTAAGTTTTCGGCCAGAGTCTCGATTAGTCTTAGCGTTCCAATGTAAATCTTAAGATTTGAATGGAAATTCTGGTTTTTATTCAAGTTCTGAGACTATGAATTTCTTAACCCATGATTTCTTAAGCATTTCGCAGGGTGTACAGTCGGGGCCTTGAAGAAGGAACCCTTTTCGTTGGGGAGGGGCTCCGTGTTCCTTTATTGTTTCGCAGCTTGCCTTGGATTTCCCGTAGGTTTTCGATACGACATCGAATGTTTAACCTATGGAAAAGAGGGGCCTCGTTCCTTATTTGGGGTTCCTTAGGTCAAGGCCCCGACTGCATGGCACCTTTGGGCCACGAGGCTCACGTCTCCCCGAGCCTGGGGGCACCTCTGGGCCGCCTCGGGGCCCTCCCGGGCTGCCCTGCGCACCCCTCTCTTGGGCGTGGCTGAATGGGGGGGGTCATAGATGGGGGGGTCAGAAACGATCCCCTTTCCTGCCCCTTTCGGGCCCCCTCCGGAGCCCCAGGGGGCTCGTTTTGGTACTGTTTGGGTACCTTTTCGGACCACCCTCGCCACCCCCCAATTTATGATCCCCCCATTACGTGACGCCCAACTCTCGGGCCATCGTACGGCCGCGTTGGGCCGCGTGGAGGGGCTTCTTGGGGCCGTCGTTGTGCTTTTGTTGGCCTTTCGTTGGCTCCTCCTGGGCTTAAGTCGGGCGTGTCCCTCAACAGGGGGGATTTTCAAAAATCGTCAAAAAATCGTTTGGGGACGATTCGTTGAGTATTTTTGTAGATTTGTTGTATATTTGTCATCCAAAATCCGCCTGTAGGGGGACATGCCCGACCTAGTCCTAGGCCCTCTTGGGACCATCTTGAGCCGAGAGGGCGGTGGGGAAGTGCAGGTGTTGGAGTTCCTGGAGGGCCTCTTGGCCTCCTCTCAAGTGTCTTGGAAGCCTCTCGGGATCCTTTCGTCGCCTCTTGGGGTCTTCTCGGGTGGGGTTGAGTGCCCCATGTGTATGTGGCAATGTTGGCCCATCTTGGTGGCCTTGGTGGCCATGCTGCGCCATCGGGGCCAGGTCACCCGCATGGGCGCGAGCCGGAAAGATCATACCCCTACGGTGGCAGGTGGGGGTTTTGCCTTTCCAGCCGCCTTGGGACGGGGGTTCCCCGATGGCGAAAAAGATGGCATACGCTGCACCTTGCTTCGCCTGCTATAGCGACAGGCGGCGCGGCCGCGCGGTCCGCCTCGGCCGAGCCGCTTTCTGCATCGCCGCGCGGCGCGCCCCGTCCGCGAGCTCGGCCGCGGCCCACCGCGGGCCGCCGCTTCGGCGGACGGGCCGCTGCCAGCTGTGCGGACGGGTCTGCGTTGCAGTCTGCGCCACGGCAGCCGCCCTGTCCCGAGGCGAGCTGGTGCCGGCGGCGCAGAGCCTCGGAGAGCCTCCGATCAGGCGCGGGGCCGTGCAGGCAGCCGGGGCGGCGATGTGCACGGAACTGCGCGACCACGACCACGACGACGACCACGACGACGACGACGACGACGACGACGACGACGACGACGACGACGGCGACGACAGCTGGCGGCGGCGACGACGACGACGACGACAGCCACGACAGCCGGCGGCGGCGGCGGAGGCCAGCGAGCGCTCCGGCGCGCGGCTCGGCCGCCCCGTGCCCGGCGGTCGGGGCCCGGCAGCCGCACGCCGGGGCAGATTCGGGAGCCGTGAGGAGGGGGCCTGCTGCATGGCGCTGTGCCCGTCCTGGGGCCTCTTAGACATATAAGCCGTCTTGAGGCGTCTTGGCTGAAGATGTTTTCATGCTTCGGGCCGGTGTGGGGGGGCGGGGAACATGGAGGAGGCAGTGACACAGTCTTACCCCAGAGCACTTGGTCTGAACGCCGTCGCCCAGAGGACTGGTGCGACATATGCCTATTGTGGATCCACAGACTCCGACGGAGCGCCCCGTCGTCGACGACACTGCGAGGGAAACTGGGGCGAATCGAGATGTCGGACCGCATCGTTCGGGGTGCGAAGCGAAGGCGAGTGCTGCCCTCGCCTGCAGCACGCCGCACGTGCCCCAGACCGCCCCAGAGCTGCCTAATCGACGCGAGGCTGCGAGGCGATGGCGCGCGGCCGGAGGAACGGGGCGCCGTTGGCAGCTGGCGCGAGGGACGGGGGTCAGTGCAAACGGGGGTCAGCCAGAGCGCCCGATCTTGCAGGATCCTGCGGGATCTTGCAGGTCTCCACCTCCACTTATCGATCTCCATCACCCACTAGCTCAGCATTCCGACCTCAATCTTTCAGCATCCGAATCTCCACTTCCAGCTCCACCTACCGACCTCCAGAGCCCACCAGCTCATCACTCCGACGCTAACCTCTAGCATCCACCTCTCCACTTTCAGCTCCACCTACCGACCTCCAGCGCCCACCAGCTC